ACAGTAAAGATGTTGATTCTTTCTGTCTTCAAATATATCACAATCAAAATTCTAACAGGATTTTTTGTTTACATTGATATTCTGTGTCTGAAATTTAATTGGAAAGGCGAACTACAATAGCCAAAACAATTTTGAAAAGGAACAAAATTGGAGCATTCATTCCACCTGATTTCAAGATGTAATAGAAAGCTCCAGCTTCCAGGTAATGTGGTATTGGTGAAAGGATAGGGCACATAGACCAAGGAAACAGAATTAGAAGTCCAGTAGAAGTCCAGAAATAGAGCCGCACATAAATGGTCAGTTGACTTTTTTTTTTTTTTTTTAATAGAGCCTTTCTCTGTCACCCAGGCTGGAGTCCAGTGGTGCAGTCATAGCTCACTGCAGCATCCACCTCCTGGGCTCAAGTGATCCTTTTGCCTCAACCTCTCATGTAGCTGAGACTGCAGATGCATGCCACCATGCCTGGCTAATTTTTTTCTTTCTTTTTTTTTTTTTGAGATGGAGTCTTGCTCTGTTGCCCAGGCTGGAGTGCAGTGGCACGATCTCGGCTCACTGCAAGCTCTGCCTCCAGGGTTTAAGCAATTCTCCTGCCTCAGCCTCCCGAGTAGCTGGGACTACAAGTGCATGCCACCATGCATGGCAGATTTTTTTGTGTATATATATATATATATATATATATATATATATATATATTTTTTTTTTTTTTTTTTTTAGTGGAGACGGGGTTTCACTGTGTTAGCCAGGATGGTCTCCATCTCCTGACCTGATCTGCACACCTTGGCCTCCCAAAGTGCTGGGATTACAGGCGTGAGCTGCTGTTCCTGGCAGGCCTGGCTAATTTTTTTTTTTTTTTTTTTTTTTGAGATGGAGTTTCGTTCTTGTTGCCCAGGCTGGAGTGCAGTGGCGTGATCTCAGCTCACTGCAACCTCCACCTCCTGGGTTCAAGCGATTCTCCTGCCTCAGCCTCCCAAGTAGCTGGGATTACAGGCACGCATCACCATGCCCAGCTAATTGTTTGTATTTTTAGTAGAGATAGGGTTTCTCCATGTTTGTCAGACTGGTCCCAAACTGCCAACTTCATGTGATCTGCCCGCCTCGGCCTACCAGAGTGCTGGGATTACAGGTGTGAGCCACTGCGCCCAGCCCTGCCTGGCTAATTTTTAAATTTTTTGTAAAGATGGGCTCTTGTTGCCCAGGCTGGACTTGAGCAGTCTTCCCATCTGTGTCTCCCATGAGCCACTATGTCTGGCTTGGTCAATTGACTTTTGACAAAGTTATGAAAACAATTCAGTGGAGAAAGGGATGACAAATAACTCTTAAAAATTGATCAATAAGAAAATATAATTTGCGGCAGGGCGTGGTGGCTCACACCTGTAATCCCAGCACTTTGGGAGGCCGAGGCGAGTGGATCACAAGGTCAGGAGATTGAGACCATCCTGGCTAACACGGGGAAACCCCGTCTCTACTGAAAATACAAAAAAAATTAGCCGGACTTGGTGGCAGGCGCCTGTAGTCCCAGCTACTCGGGAAGCTGAGGTGGGAAGTGGCGTGATCTCAGGAGGCGGAGCTTGCAGTGAGCAGAGATCGTGCCACTGCACTCCAGCCTGGGTGACAGAGTGAGACTCCATCTCAAAAAAAAAAAGAAAAAAAAATAATTTGTTTTAAGAAGTGGGCAAAATTTTGAACAGATACTTTACCAAAGAAAATATGTAGGCTCGGCACGGTGGCTCACGCCTGTAATCCCAACACTTTGGGAGGCCGAGATGGGTGGATCACTTGAGGCCAGGAGTTTGAGACTAGCCTGGCCAAGATGGCAAAACCCTGTCTCTACTAAAACTACAAAAATTAGCTGGGTGTGGTGGCTCACGTCTGTAATACCAACTACTTGGGAGGCTGAGGCATGAGGATAGCTTGAACCTGAGAGGCAGAGGTTGCAGTGAGCTGAGATTGTACCACTGCACTTCAGCCTGGGCAACAGAGCGAGACTGTCTAAAAAAAAATATATATATATAGAGGCAGATGAGCATCTTTTCATGTATTTAACATAATAGTCATAAAGGAAATGCAGATTAAAACAAGATACTACACACTTAATAGAATGACTTAAAGAAATAGTGACAATGCCAAGTGCTGGTGAGTATGTGAAGTAATGAACTCACATGCACTGGTAGTGAGGAGGCAAAATGGAACAGCTACTTTAAAATGGGGTTTGGTGGTTTCTTATAAAGTTAAACATACACTTAACCTGTGATCCAGCAATTCCATTCCTAGATATTTCTCCAAGAGAAATGTAATCCTTTTCTGTTACACAAAAACTCATACATAATGTTTATAGTAGTCCCAAAACTGGAAGCAACCCAAAGGTCCTTCTGGTGAATGGATAAACAAACTGAGGTGTGTCTATACAATAAAATAATACTCAGTAGTAAAAACAAACATATAGACTAGGCACTGTGGCTCATGCCTATAATCCCCAGCACTTTGGGAGACCAAGGTGGGAGGATCGCTTTGAGCCCAGGAGTTGGGGACCAGCCTGGGCAACATAGTAAGGCCTCATCTTTGTAAATGATAATAATAATCAAAGTAAATAAATAAAATTAAAATATATGGATGAATCTCAAAAGCATGCTTTTGAGCATAATGCTGAGTGAAAGAAACAAAACTCAAAATGCTGTATAGTTTATGATCCCATTTATGTGATGTTCTGGAAAAGCAAAATTATAGGAACAAAATACATTATGTTTACTAGTGGCCAAAAGTTGGGTAAGGGGAGGGGGTGACTATAGTGGCACATAAGGGAATGTTTTGGGGCGATGGAACTTTTTGTGTCTTAATTGTGGTCATGATTACATGATTATATGCATTTGTGAAAACTCATTATGTACCAAAAAGTAATGTTTTTATATATAGATTTTGGAAAGTCAATGAAAAAACGTAAAACATGTGATTCTTGTTTTCTCCAAGATGTCTTGGCTTTGCTTTGGGAGAGGCTTCTGGAATCCTCTCCGTTTGCTTTGGTTGAGGCCCTCAGATGATTGGGCAGATGATTGGGCTGCTTTGAGTTCTCTGTGTCTTTAGCACTGGAAAGTCTCACCATGGTGGTGGCAGATCTTTTTCTTTCTTAACAGAACAGAACATGGGAGTGGGAGGTTCTAAAATGTATTTTTTTAAAAACTTTTTATTTATTTATTTTTTTTGAGACAGTCTTGCCCTGTCGCCCAGGCTGGAGTGCAGTGGCATGATCTTGGCTCAATGCAACCTCTGTCTTCCAGGCTCAAGCAATTCTTCTGCCTCAAGCTTCCTCAGAAGCTGGGATTACAAGCGTGCACCACCGCTTCCAGCTAATTTTTGTATTTTTAGTAGAAACAAGGACTCCCCATGTTGGCCAAGGCTGGTCTCGAACTCCTGACCTCAAGTGATCTATCCTCCTGTGCCTCCCAGAAGGCTGGGATTACAGGTGTGAGCTACCGCACCCACTTACAGTGTATTCTTTTTACTTGACTTTTTTTTTTGAGTCAAGGTCTCACTCTGTCACCCAGGCTGGAGTACAGTGGTGCTATCACAGCTCACTGCAGTCTCCACCTCCTGGGCTCAAACGATTCTTCCACCTCAGTCTCCCAAGTAGCTGGAACCACAGGCATGTGCCACCACACCCAGTTAATTTTTCGTATTTTTGGTGGAGATGGGATTTCACTATGTTGCCCAGGCTGGCTTGAACTCCTGAGCTCAAGCAGTCCACCTACCTCGGCTTCCCAGAGTGCTGGGATTACAGGCGTGAGCCACTGCACCCGGCCTGTTTGACTTTTTTTTTTTTTTTTTTTTGAGGTGGAGTCTTGCTCGTCGCCCAGGCTGGAGTGCAGTGGCACGATCTCGGCTCACTGCAAGCTCCACCTCCCAGGTTCATGCCATTCTCCTGTCTCAGCCTCCCGAGTAGTTGGGACTATAGGCGCCCGCCACCATGCCCTGCTAATTTTTTGTATTTTTAGCAGAGACAGGGTTTCACTGTGTTAGCCAGGATGATCTCGATCTCCTGACCTCGTGATCCACCTGCCTCGGCCTCCCAGAGTGCTGGGATTACAGGCGTGAGCCACCGCGCCTGGCCTGTTTGACTTTTTTTAAAAAATGGACTTTATCCAGCAAAAATTACATGTAATAAAATTCCTCCATTTTTAATGTAGAGTTGGATGAATTACAGCAGATTTTTATACCCATGAAAGCCACCACGTCCACAAGCAGTATCCATCACCCCTAGAAGTCCTCTCATGCCCATCTTCTAGAGCATCAGTCTTAGCTGTAACCCAGGTGTAAGAGCCCTTCTGGACCTGCTGTTGTCATCCAGCATTACCTCATAAAGGCCTTGCTGTGTCTACACTGTGTGCAAATTGTCCCTTCCAACAGTTACATGATGTTTCATTTCAATATATTAGGGTTCATTAACCATTTTCCCACCTTCTCTATGGTGTGATGCCCCAGCTGCACCGCAGTGAAATTTGTTGTGCACATCCCTTTCAATTAATCCCTTAGGCTTAATTCTTAGCCCTATAGTCCTTGCCAGAAATTTTTCCCATATAGCAATACATTGCTTTCCTGAAAAGGCTAAACCATCATAGAATGCTGCCAGCCCTGGGTGCCCATCCCAGCCTCATTGTGTCTTTGCTGGCCTTGGTTGCTGTTTCCCCCTCTCTCTTAAGAGCTTGTTATTTCAGTAGCTGTATAAATGGAACTGCCGGGTTGTTTCAGGGTAGTTTGTATTTTTTTGGTTGCTAGTGAGGATGAAATTAGTTTCAAGGATTTTTTTTTTCTTACGCTAGTGGAAACTCTTTATAATTCTTGTCCTTTCATTTATTTGGGTTATTTTTCTTATCAATTTAGATGAGTATTTTTATGTAGTGTACCTTTGTAGATGTTCACATTGATTTTAAGGGTATGATATTGAGTGTAAGTGTTGGAGGTGTTGATGATTTTTATGGAATTATATCGTTAACCTTTTTGTTTTCTAGCTGGTTTAGGTGAATTTCGAATTCGTGACCTGAATGATGAAATTAACAAGCTGCTAAGGGAGAAAGGACACTGGGAGGTCCGGATAAAGGAGCTGGGTGGTCCTGATTATGGAGTGAGTACATGGCAGCCCCAGTGGCGGGTCCCATCTAGTTTTCCACCCCCAGCAGTTCCCAGCCCATTCCTGCCATAGTAGTCCCTTGATACAGGAAACCTGTGAACAGGTGGGTAGGATGATGCTGGAAGACTTCACAGCACCTGCATCACAGTAGACAGGGCATCTGTATGTACTAGCCAGAAGGCCTTGTGTAAGCTGCTTCATCTCTGGGCCTTGTGTTTAAAATGACCGTGAGCCCGGGTACGGTAGCTCACTCCTGTAATCCCAGCACTTTGGGAGGCCGAGGTGGGCAGATCACTTGAGGTCAGGAGTTCAAGACCAGCCTGGCCAATATGGCAAAAGCCCATCTCTTCTAAAAATACAAAAATTAGCTATGTGTGGTGATGCATGCCTGTAATCCCAGCTACTTGGGAGGCTGAGGCAGGAGAATCACTCGAACCTGGAAGACAGAGGTTGCAGTGAGCCAAGATCGCTACTGCACTCCAGCCTGGGCAACAGAGTCAGACTCCTTCCCCCCCCACAAAAAAAAAAGAAAGAAAAGACTATGGTTCTTCGCTGGGTGCAGTGGCTCACGCCTGTAATCCTAGCAGTTTGGGAGGCTGAGTCAGGACGACCACTTGAGCACTGGAGTTTGAGATCAGCCTAGGCAACGTTGTGGGACCCTTAATCTACAAAATATTTAAACATTAGCTAGGCATGGTAGCAGATGCTTATAGTCCCAGAAGGATGAGGTGGGAGGGTCGCTTGAGCCTGGGAGGTGGAGGCTGCAGGGAGCTGTCATCATGCCACTCACCTCAGCCTGGGTGCCAGAGCAAGATGCTGTCTCAAAAAAAAAAAAAAAAGATAAAATGACAATGGTTCCTCCCATTATTTGAGCACCTTAGGAACTGGAGACAGCCATTTGTTGGCTTTGTTATCTGAGAGCCATAGAGACACTCCATTCTGTCCTTTTTTTGGACTTCTGTAAGTACAATACTCTAGAAACATAGCTTTCAAACTTTTAAGAACATGGCCCATTGTAAAACACACACAGACACACACACACACAATCACAAGCCAGCACACAACGGTGCTGAAAAAACAGTAGTATGGTATACTTTGATATTTTTTATTCTGTTCTATTTTGGTTTTTAAAAAATTGATGTTTGTGACCTGCTTAACTGATTTCATGACGCACTAATGGGTCTTGGTTTTGAAAACTCCTGCCCCAGAGCCTAATTATTTCACACTTTTGTGATGAGACCTACCTCAGATCACTGGAAACAACAGTATCTAATCAATGGACGATAACATGTTATATAAGAAACACATGCAGTTTTTCTACGTGTTGATCTTTTCACCTTTGAGAAAGTCTTAACACATAACCGTAATTCTCCCCCTAGTACATACAAATGGAGCCTTCCCACTGCAGAAGAGGAAAGACACTCCCATTTCTGAAGCCCCTTTTGTGTCTGGGCACTGCACTAGGAGCCTTCTTTTCTCTTGGATGTCTTGCCTAACTTCTTTTTTTCTTTTCATTTATTTTATTTTTGTTGTTTCTTATTTTTATATGCCAATCTTCTCTGTATCATTCTGATTTTAGCATATGTCCTGCCAGAGTGAGCACTTGCCTGACCTCTTCAGCAGTTGTGTGGTGGAGATTTTATTTTTCCTGTGAGGCTGCTTACAAGCAGCTCATTAATCCACCTAGAAAAGTGGTCTCAGATGTATGAAAAAATTAATATATGAAATGTTAAGTTCCACCACCTAAATTCAACATAAATTCAATATAAATATATGAAAATTAATATTTTTATATATTTTCTTCCAGAGACTTTTAATACTTAATAATTTTGTTTTTATTTTCCACATAAAAGTAATATATTATCACTAAGTTCAGAAAAGTACAAAGAAGCAGAACAACACTCAGTCACAATCCCATTACATAAGCGCAGCCACTTGAATATGCTCTTTATCTTTTTTTTTTCCTTCCGTTGTTTTTTGTATGAATGTCATAATTGAAACCATACTTACTATATGTCCAATTTTGGTTCTAGGTTTTGTTTTTCTTTTCTTTTTTTTTTTTTTTTTTGAGACGGAGTCTAATGCTGTTGCCCAGGCTGGAGTGCAGTGGCGCGATCTCGGCTCACTGCAAGCTCCGCCTCCCGGGTTCCCGCCATTCTCCTGCCTCAGCCTCCTGAGTAGCTGGGACTACAGGCGCCCGCCACCGCGCCCGGCTAATTTTTTTTGTATTTTTAGTAGAGACGGGGTTTCACTGTGGTCTCCATCTCCTGACATTGTGATCCGCCCGCCTCGGCCTCCCAAAGTGCTGGGATTACAGGCTTGAGCCACCGCGCCCGGCCTTGTTTTTCTTTTCAAAATGGTAGCTTTGATTATATAAACAAGTACATATTTTCGTGTAGAGAAAGAATATAAATATAAAAATTATAAAATATAAACAATACATATTAGTGTATATATTATAGAAATTCATTAATATTCTCAACTACGTGCTTTATTCTCTAAACTGTATAAGGAATACCCCTTCATGTCAGATAATCATATGATCGATAAGTATATTAAATTGTTTTATTTTATTTTATTTTAGTTTTTTTTTTTTTGAGATGGAGTCTCGCCTTGTCACCCAGGCTGGAGTGCAGTGGCGTGATCTTGGCTCACTGCAACCTCCGCCTCCTGGGTTCAAACAATTCTCATGCCCCAGGCTCCGGAGCAGTTCAGATTACAGGTGTGTGCCACCATACCTGGCTAATTTTTGTATTTTAGTAGAGTTGGGGTTTGACCATGTTGGCCAGGCTGGTCTCGAACTCCTGATCTCTGGTGATCTGCCCATGTTGGTCTCCCAAAGTGCTGGAATTACAGGTGTGAGCCACTGCACCCAGCCTTTTAGTTTTTGAGACAGGATCTTACTCTGTTACCCCAGGCTGGAGTGCAGTGTCACGATCATGGTTCACTTCAGCCTTGACTCCAAGTGCAAGTGATCCTTTTACCTCAGCCTCCCGAGCAGCTGAGATGACAGATGTGTGCCACCATGCTTAGCTAATTTTTTTTTTTTTTTTTTTTGACACGGAGTCTTGCTCTGTTACCCAGGCTGGAGTGCAGGGGCGTGATTTTGGCTCACTGCAACCTCCCCCTCCTAGGTTCAAGCGATTCTCATGCCTCAGCCTCCAGAGTAGCTGGGATTACAGGTGCCCACCACCACACCCAGCTAATTTTTGTATTTTTATTAGAGACAGGGTTTCACCATGTTGGCCAGGCTGGTCTCGATCTCCTGATCTCAGGTGATCCACCTGCCTTGGCCTCCCAAAGTGCTGGGATTACAGGCATGAGCCACTGTCCCTGGCCATGCCCAGCTAATTTTTAAATTTTTTGTAGAAATGGTGTCCCATTATATTGCCCAGGCTGGTCTCAAGCTCCTGGAGTTAGTCATCCTGCCTCAGCCTCCGAAAGTGCTGGGATTACAGGCGTGAGCCGCTGTGCTCAACCAAATTGTATAATTTTTAAAAATGTTTTTTAACTCAACATTGCAGAAATATACAGAACTTTTATATACCCTTTTTACAGATTTACCAGTATTTAACATTTTACTTGTATTTGCTTTATTTTCTTTATGTACCTTGAGATTTATTTTTTGTGAAGCATTTGAAAGGTCGGTTAAAATACATCATGCTTCTTTACTCTTTAATATATGTGTATTTCCTAAGAAGAAGAATATTCTCTTATATAACCATGGTAGAGCTATCAAGTTTAAGAAATTTAACCTGGCTACAATAATTAAATCCATGTGGCATTTCATCAATTTTCCCAGTAATGTCTTTGGTAGCATTTCCCCTGCAGTACAGGACCTGGTCCAGGGTCACATACTACATGTAGTTGTCAAATCGTCTTTTTTTTTTTTTTTTTGAGGCAGAGTCTCACTCTGTCGTCCAGGCTGCAGTGCAGTGGTGCGTGATCTCAGCTCACTGCAACCTCCGCCTCCCAGGTTCAAGTGATTCTTGTGCTCCAGCTTCCCAAGGAGCTGAGATTACAGATGTGCACCACCACACCTTGCTAATTTTTGTATTTTTAGTAGAGATGGGGTTTTACCATGTTGGCCAGGCTGGTTTTGAACTCCTGACCTCAGGTAATCTGCTCGCCTTGGTGTCCCAAAGTGCAGGGATTACAGATGTGAGCCACCATACCCAGCAAATCATCAGTTTTAATAGATATAGTTGTATCTTCTGGATGTATTTCATTTGTTTTCTACTGATTGTCATATAGGTTGTTGGTAATCTTTTTAAAGGTTTTGTCACTTAACATCGTGTTTTTTATTTTTATTTATTTTTATTTTATTTTATTTTATTTTTTTGAGACAGAGTCTCGCTGTGTCACCCAGGCTGGAGTGCAGTGGCGCAATCTCGGCTCACTGCAAGCTCTGCCTCCTGGGTTCATACCATTCTCCTGCCTCAGCCTCCTGAGTAGCTGGGACCACAAGCACCCGCCACCATGCCCGGCTAATTTTTTGTATTTATAGTAGAGATGGGGTTTCCCCGTGTTAGCCAGGATGGTCTCGATCTCCTGACCTCGTGATCCACCTGCCTCAGCCTCCCAAAGTGCTAGGATTACAGGCATGAGCCACCGCGCCTGGCCTATTTTTATTTAGTTTTTTTGAGACAGGGTCTCGCTTTGTCACCCAGGCTGGAATGCAGTGGCACGATAGACATATGTCACCATGCCTGGCTAGTTTTTGCATTTTTTTGTAGAGACAAGGTTTCACCATGTTTCCCAGGCTGGTTGTGAACTCCTGGCCTCAAGTGATCTTCCCGCCTCGGTCTCCCAGAGTGCTGGGATTACAGGTGTGAGCCACCGTACCCAGCCCATAAGTGTTTTTTATTTATTTATTTATTTTATATTTGAGACAGAGTCTCTCTCTGTCGCCTAGGCTGGAGTGCAGTGGCATGATCTTGGCTCACTGCAATCTCCACCTCCCAGGTTCAAGCAATTCTTCCTGCCCTAGCCTCCTGAGTAGCTGGGATTACAGGGATGTATCAGCACACCTAGCTAATTTTTGTATAGTAGAGACAGGGTTTTGCCATGTTGCCCAGGCTGGTCTTGAACTCCTAAGCTGAAGTGATCCGCCTACCTTGGCCTCCCAAAGTGCTAGGATTACAGGTGTGAGCCACTACATCCGGCTATTATCTTAAAATATATTTGCAAACATGGAAATAGTGGGTTTAAAGATAAGATTCGCCAGACGCAGTGGCCTATGCCTGTAATCCCAGCACTTTGGGAGGCCGAGGCAGGCAGATCGCTAGGTCAGGAGATCGAGACCATCCTGGCCAACATGGTGAAACCCCATCTCTACTAAAAATATAAAAATTAGCCAGGCGTGGTGGCATGCACCTGTAATCCCAGCTACTCAGGAGGCTGAGACAGGCAAATCACTTGAACCTGGGAGGCGGAGGTTGCAGCGAGATTGTGCTACTGCACTCCAGCCTGGGCAACAGAGCGAGAGTCCACCTCAAATAAGTAAATGGGCAACAGAGCGAGACTCCACCTCAAATAAATAATAACTAACTAACAGATCCATTTTCTCTTTTTTCTTCCCAATAAGAAAGTTGGTCCTAAAATGCTGGATCATGAAGGAAAAGAAGTCCCAGGAAACCGAGGTTACAAGTACTTTGGAGCTGCAAAAGATTTGCCTGGTGTTAGAGAGCTGTTTGAAAAAGAACGTAAGTAACTAAGTTTATGACAGTTTTAGCCTTTCGTTGGTAATAATCATAGGAGTAGATATGCTATATGCTAACTGCTCTTACTTTTTTTTTCTTAGTTGCATAACAGCCTTATAATGTAGGAATTATTGTTCCCAGATTTCAACTGAGAATTCTTAAGAAATGGGATGGAATCATAGGCCCATGACATACAACTGGGGCTGGAAAGTGCGCCCAGGATTGGCTGGTGCAGGTTTCTGCCTTTGGCAGGTGCTAATCTGTCAGTCTGGACAAGGAGTTTCTTTATTTGAAGTTTCCCAGAACGATTGGGGCAGGTTCTGAAGTTCATTGAATCCGGTTCATGTTTCAGTTACTTATTAGTTGAAAAAATGATAACCAGTGAACAAATAAAATCTTGGGCCAAACCCTAACATGTAAAAATGGAAAAAAGCGAGACCGGGCGCTGTGGCTCATGCCTATAATCCCAGCACTTTGGGAGGCCGAGGTGGGCAGATCACCTGAGGTAGGGAGTTTGAGACCAGCCTGGCCAACATGGTGAAACCTTGTCTCTACTAAACTTACAAAATTAGCTGGGCATGGTGGTGCATGCCTGTAATCCCAGCTGCTCAGGAGGCTCAGACAGGAGAATCGCTTGAATCTGGGGAGTGGAGGTTGCGGTGAGCCGAGATCACAAAATTGCACTGCAGCCTGGACAACAAGAGTGAAAGTCCATCTCAAAAAAAAAAAAAAAGGAGAAAAGTGGAGCTGCTTTGTGTGAATCCAGTAGGGCACCTCCACGTCTCCTCCTTCTTTCAGCCAAACCTCCAGAATATAATTTGAAACTGTTAGTCTGGAGTTTTAGTCTGTTTTAATTTTGTGTTTTAGAAAGGTAGTCAGCACTTCATAGGAAAAAGTATGAGAGGCAGAGAAGAATGATGCCAGTATTCTCACCATTATTAGCGTTTTGTTGTGTCTCCTTTTAGTTGATTTTTCTATTTTTTTTTTAATATAGTTCTACTTTTATTAAACCCTGCTTATTTTAAAATTCGTTATTCCAAAACTAGTTTTGTATAGGTCGCTGCCATCACTTAAAAATAATTCAGAGTTTAAATATTGTGCCATTAATTATGAAGCAATGTATTTTTTATTGCAGAGAAGTTATAGCCAGGTACAGTGGCTCATGGTTGTAATCCCAGCACTTTGGGAGGCCAAGGCGGGAGAATCACAAGGTCGGGAGTTCCAGACCAGCCTGGCCAACATGGTGAAACCCTGTCTCTACTAAAAATACAAAAAAAAAAATTAGCTGGGCATAGTGGCAGGCACCTGTAATCCCAGCTACTCAGGAGGCTGAGGCAGGAGAATCGCTTGAATCTGGGAGGTGGAGGTTGCAGTGAGCCGAGATTGTGCCACTGTACTCCAGCCTGGGCAGCAAAGCAAGACTCCATCTTAAACCAAAAAAGTAAGTTGTAAAATACAGAAAATCAGAAAAAGACCACTCACATTTTCACACCTCATATGTAATGATTGTTAATACATTGGGACATTGTTCCCTCCAGTTTCTTTCTATTTGTTTATTTTTATTTGTTTATTTTTTTGGTGAGACGGAGTCTTGCTCTGTTGCACAGACTGGAGTGTAGTGGTGCGATCTTGGCTCACTGCAACCTCTGCCTCCCGGGTTTGTGGCCCAATCTCGGTTCACTGCAAGCTCTGCCTCCCAGGTTCACGCCATTCTCTTGCCTCAGCCTCCCGACTACAGGCGTCTGACACCATGCCCAGCTATTTTTTTTTCTTTTTCTTTTTCTTTTTTTGTACTTTTAGTAGAGACGGGGTTTCACCGTGTTAGCCAGGATGGTCTCGATTTCCTGACCTCGTGATCCGCTCGCCTTGGCCTCCCAAAGTGCTGGGATTACAGGCGTGAGCCACCGTGCCTGGTACTAATTTGTATTTTTAGTAGAGACAAGATTTCACTATGTTGGCCAGGGTGGTCTTGAGCTCTTTTTTTTTTTTTTTTTTTTGAGATGGAGTCTTGCTCTGTTATCCAGGTTGGAGTGCAGTGACGCGATCTCACATCACTGCTGCAAGCTCCACTTCCCAGGTTCACACCATTCTCCTGCGTCAGCCTCCCGAGTAGCTGGGACTACAGGTGCCCGCCACCACACCTGGCAAAGTTTTTGTATTTTTTAGTAGAGACGGGCTTTCACCATGTTAGCCGAGATGGTCTCGATCTCCTGACCTAGTGATCCACCCGCCTCAGCCTCCCAAAGTGCTGGGATTATAGGCGTGAACCACTGCTTCCAGCCGGTCTTGAACTCTGATGTTGTGATCTGCCCACCTCAGCCTCTGTCTCGTGCTCCCAAAGCGCTGGGATTATAGGAGTGAGCCACCTCACCTGGCTGTTCCTTCCAGTTTCTAAAGGATTATACTGGGGCGGCTCCTACTTTGTGATTATACTCTATATGTTAGGTTTTTTGCATTTACATTTTTCTACATATATTTTTGCTTATTCCAGTCATAGATTTTTGGATTTTTAAATTTATTTTTCCTTTTTTGTCATCTCTTTAAAAGATTTTTGTTTTAGAAAGAAAATGCTTAAGTCAATTTTACCGGTTATAATTCAAATAGTACAGATAGAGTTAAAGTCCTCTTACCTCTACCCTCATCCCAGTGCCCCTCCTAGAGGTAACTGATAATCATTATTATCATTTGGTATGTTCCTTTCCGGCCTTAAGAAAAAAAATTTTTTTTAGGCCAGAAAGGAACATACCAAATGATAATAATGATGGTGGCTTACACCTGTAATCCCAGCACTTTGGGAGGCCAAGGAGGGTGGATCACATGAGGTCAGGAGTTCAAGACCAGCCTGACCAACATGGTGAAACCGCATCTCTACTGAAAATACAAAATCAGGCCGGGCGTGGTGGCTACGCCTGTAATCCCAGCACTTTGGGAGGCCGAGGTGGGCGGATCACAAGGTGAGGAGATCAAGACCATCCCGGCTAACACAGTGAAACCCTGTCTCTGCTAAAAAAAATACGAAAAATTAGCTGGTTATGGTGGCAGGCTCCTGTAATCCCAGCTATTCGGGAGGCTGAGGCAGGAGAATGGCGTGAACCCAGGAGGTGGAGCTTGCAGTGAACTGAGATCACGCCATTGCACGACTCTGTCTTTAAAGAAAAGAAGAAAATACAAAATTAGCCAGGCATGGTGGTGCATGCCTGTAATCCCAGCTACTTGAGAGGCTGAGGCAGGAGAATTGCTTGAACCCAGGAGGCAGAGGTTGCAGTAAGCCGAGATTGCACAACTGCATTCCAGCCTGGGCGACAGAGCAAGACTCTGTCTCAAAGACAGGACCTTGTTCTGTCACCCAGGCTGTGGAAGAAGTGGTGCAATCATAGCTCATTGCAGCCTTGAACTCCAGGGCTCAAGGCATCCTTCTGCCTCAGCCTCTTGAGTAGCTAGGAGTACAGGCATGTATCACCACCCCTGACATTTTTTAAAATTTCTGTAGAGATGGGAGTCTCACTATGTTGTCTAGTAATTCTTGAACTCCTTGCCTCGAGCAGGCCTCCTGCCTCGGGCTCCCAAAGCATTGGGATTACAAGCATGAACCCCTGCACTCAGCCTTCTTCTAGTCCCGTTTCCAGGCAGTTACATGCTTATTTCATCAGTATAAGTGACAGATGACTTAACCCCAAGGAAATCCCAGGATAGTTTGCCTTCAGGCATGGCTGAATGTAGCTCACATTTCTTTGTGTTGCAGTTTTGACTTCCACTGTGTAAACTTCTTTCTCTGCCTGGCTTTCCACTTGTGGCAGTCATCTGTCATTGACTTAGGTCTTGTTCTCTCAGCAACAGATTTTTCTCCCAAGCAGCTCAAGCAAAATTCCCAGACTGAGTGTAGTTGGTTTTGATTGGATTATAATGCCATCATCCATATACCAGCCCCTGTGGCCAGGAGGAATGCAGTACTCTGAGCCAGCCAGGCTTCAACCTGCACTATCTCCTGGCTCCAGCCAGCATGATGACCACCACTTACATGACGTGGCCCAAGAGTGGCAGAGGGGTGGGCAGAGTTGCTGTTACCAACAGTGGGGTGATAGATAGAGGCCTGCCAAATGACAGTGGCTCTTTCATAACTGTTGTGTTGTGATAGCCATTAGTATCCTCCCACAAATGTACTTAGAACTCTGTTAGTGGATGTGAAGGATTAAAGAGTATCATGGTATGGATTAACCATACCTAACAATTCCTCCATTGCAGACCTTTACTTTCCAGGTTTTTTTTTCTTTCTTTCTTTCTTTTTTTTTTTTTGAGATGGACTCTCACTCTGTTGCCCTGGCTAGAGTGCAGTGGTGTGATCTCGACTCACTGCCAGCTCTGCTTCCTGGGTTGAAGTGTTTCTCCTACCTCAGCCTCCTCAGTAGCTTGGGATTATAGGCGCCTGGCAACACGCCTGGCTAATTTTTGTATTTTTAATAGAGATAGGGTTTTGCCATGTTGGCCAGTCTGGTCTTGAACTCCTGACCTCAGGTGATCTACCTGCCTTGGCCTCCCAAAATGCTGGGATTACAGGCATGAGCCACTGCGCCTGGCCAGCTTTTATTCTTTGACTAATCTGGTTGGTTGTCATTTTCTTTTTCATTTTCAATAATTACTTGGCCGGGCGCAGTGGCTCACACCTATAATCTTAGCACTTTGGGAAGCCTAAGCAGGCAGATCACCTGAGGTCAGGAGTTTGAGACTTGCCTGGCCAACAAGTGAAATCCATCTCTCCTAAAAATACAAAAATTAGCTGGGTGTGGTGGTGGGTGCCTGTAATCCCAGCTACTCGGGAGGCTGAGACAGGAGAATCACTTGAACCTGGAGGCAGAGGTTGTAGTGAGCCGAGATCATGCCATTGCACTCCAGCCTGGACAACAAGAGTGAAATTCCATTACAAAAAAAAAAAAAGAATTACTTGAATATTCTGGCTAATAGTCCTAGTCTGAAAGTATCTTCTTTAGGGCTTTCTCATCTATCTTTTTTGTTTGTTTATAGTTTCTTTTGTCTTTTTTATTTACTTATGTTTCTTGTCATGCTTTTTCATTAAACATTATGACAGTTCCTGTGTTACTAAAATACTTTGTGAATTAGCATTACAGGGGCTGCAGGATATCCCATCCCATACATATTCTGCAATTTACAATCCTAGGTTATTTCCAAGTTTTCTCTCTTACATAAATAATAATGTGATGCATATTTCTGTCCATGAAGCTTTTTGCTATCTTATGTTTGCACTGCAACCAGCCTGGATTTCTTTTTTTTTTCTTCTTTTTTTTTTTTTTTTTTTTTTTTTTTTTTTTTTTTTTTGAGACGGAATCTGGCTCTATCGCCCAGGCTGGAGTGCAATGGCACGGTCTTGGCTTACGGCAACCTCCGCCTCCTGGGTTCAAGTGATTCTGCTGCCTCAGCCTCTGGAGTAGCTGGGATTAAAGGGGTCCACCACCATGCCTGACTGATTTTTGTATTTTTAGTAGAGATGGGGTTTCACCATGTTGGCCACGCTGGTCTCGAACTGCTGACCTCATGATTCTCTCGCCTCGGCCTCCCAAAGTGCTGAGATTACAGGCATGAGCCACCGCGCCGAGCTTGGTTTTGTTTTTTAATTAGGTAGGTTGCTTTTAAATGGACTAATGGGTTCAAGTACTGAATTTAAAAAGGGCTCTACCGCTTAAATAATCCCATGAATAATATAGAAAAGTGCCTATCCATGGTATTTTCTTTTTTTGTGATGGAGTCTTGCTTTGTTGTCCAGGCTAGAGTGCAGTGGTGTGACCTCGGCTCACTGCAAACTCTGCCTCCCGGGTTCAAGCGATTCTCCTGCCTCAGCCTGAGCAGCTGGGATTACAGGTGCGCACCACCACGCCTGGTGAATTTTTGTATTTTTAGTAGAGACGAGGTTTCACCATGTTGGTCAGGCTGGTCTCGAACTCCTGACCTCATGAGCCACCTGCCTCGGCCTCCCAAAGTGCTGGGATTATAGGCGCGAGCCACCGCGCCTACGCGGTATTTTCATGAACATACGTGCCACGTGGCTGTGTAGCGTTGCATCAGGAGACAGCTTTGCTGGAGTGTGATTTGACTTGGAAACTCAGCTCTGTTTCTGTTTCTTATAGCTCTTCCTCCTCCCAGAAAGACACGTGCTGAGCTCATGAAGGCAATCGATTTTGAGTACTATGGTTACCTAGATGAAGATGATGGTGTTATTGTGCCTTTGGAACAGGAATATGAAAAGAAACGTAGGTCTCTGGGCATTTTATTTTAGAATAGATGGCATCTGTTTTCTGTTGTCTCCTTTGAAAACAGGATTTTCAATAGTGCTTTATGCCAGAAGGGAGTTTTCTTTGTTGCTAATGGTCTTCAGGTGTGATGGTCTGTTAATTCCCTGATCCCTGTGAGGCAGTCAAGGCTGTGTGGGCCAGAGATAAAGGTTGGGGAAGCCATGAGAGCCAAGTCTGACCAGTCCCTGTGTGCTAGGAGGTCACCATCTGGATTCGTGCTAATACCAGTGCCCATGTGACACATCAAGCCAGGACTTTGGAAGCAAGTGGTCTGGAGCTGGAGCTGATTTCTAGCATGCTCTGCCCCTGCCTTCTCTGTTTTCATGTGGACATGTTGGGAAGCCACTCAGGTTGTGGAACTGGGGAGGATTTGGGAATGTTCCCTAAAAATCTGCTTTGAAGTGACTGAAAGCCAGAGCTGTTGTAGGACTACCATGCCTCACATCCATTTCCACTCATGGGGGCAGAATGAAGGGTGTCCCTTTCTAGAGGGGATGTCTAGACTTTCCCTGCATAGTGTTGGCCTTTCCCTGCATAGTGTTGAAAGCTCATTTAGAGACTGAAATAAATAGCACCTACCCTCTCTTGTGTTCAGTCAGAGCCGAGTTAGTGGAAAAGTGGAAAGCAGAGAGAGAGGCTCGGCTGGCAAGAGGAGAAAAGGAAGAGGAGGAGGAAGAGGAGGAAGAGATCAACATCTATGCAGTCACCGAGGAGGAGGTATTGGGATTGGTCACCTCTGGCACTCACTGCCATCTGCTCCAAGCCATGAAGTATGGCAGGGAGGAAGCTTGGCTCCAAAACATAGAGTCAGGGTTCACAGCCCAGCTTGCTCGCCTGCAGGATGGCTGTGAAAACACTCGTGAGATTACAGGAGGGTTTCAGGAGGCAGCAGCCATGAGAGTGCCCTGCTGGCCATGCTTTACACAAGGGCTTCCTTCCTTCCTTCTTAGAGACAGGCCCTCCTGCATACCCGGGAATTAGATTGATAAACACAGAGGAAGCCATGAGCTTTAGCCCATGACCTCATCACTTCTGTTCACGTGGCAGTGCCAGTCGCTCTTCTGTAGTCTAACACCCCCATCTTTTTTATTTTTTTTGAGACGGAGTCTTGCTCTGTCACCCAGGCTGGAGTGCAGTGGCATGATCTTGGCTCACTGCAACCTCTGCCTTCTGGGTTCAAGCAATTCTTCTGCCTCAGCCTCCCGAGTAGCTGGGACTACAGGCGAGTGCCACCATGCCCGGCTAATTTTTGTATATTTAATAGAGACAGGGTTTCACCATATTGGCCAGGCTGGTCTCGAACTCCTGACCTCGTGATCCGCCCGCCTTGGCCTCCCAAAGTGCTGGGATGACAGGCGTGAACCATTGTGTCTGGCCCTAACACCCCATCTTACAGATGGAAACAAACCCAGAGGGTCATGGTGGGGGAATCCTTTCATGTTTTCAGACCTTTTGCATATTTTCTGATCTATAGGAAACACTCATTATATATCTTAGTTACTACTTTTTATTAGAGCCACCATGTAAGTAATCTTAATATATCTGTCTGTGCTACACCTTTTATTTTTTTCTATGAAACATTACCAAAACTTCACTGCATTAAAGGAGATATTCTGAAACAAGGAAAACTCAGCATTTGAAATCTCTGCCTCCCAGGCAGAGCTCTTCTGCAGGGCCCTCTGTTTGGAGTCCTTGCTGCCTGCACAGATCCAGGTGGATCTGATTTGCTGGACTGAGAGAGGGGAGGGGATCACCCACACATGGATGATGGCTCAGGTTCCACATAAGGAGCTTGCTGAGACACCACTGGTGAAGAAGCAGGCTCAGGTTTAGTGACTTAGTCAATGTCACACAGGATGTAACAGGCCTGATGTTCCTGCTCATGTCCAGCTGGGCCACCAGTGGAGTTCAGTGCAGGTCTGAAGCAGGATGGCAGCATGCCTTAGGAGGATTTCCTCTAGGTACAAATAATCATTTGCTCTCTCAGCAGATGTTTAATTCATGGCTCCTGTGAGCCAGCCCCTTTCCAGGTACAGGGGCATAGTGGTACAGAGGCTTGGTGTGTAGCTCTTAGTCCAGGGGGAGGCAGTCCAGTAAGAGAGACAGTGAGTAGCAGTCCCTCAATAGAGCCTAGTGCAGGGACAGCCTGCAGACACTCTGCTGGGAAGCTAACCCCTCAGCTGAGATTAGGACGATCCAGGGAACTTAACCAAGGGAGGAGGAGATAATACGCCCCAGCAGGAGCACATCGTGTGCTGAGAGATCCTGTGATGAGTATGAGAGACAAAGGACAGCCCAGTGTGCTAGAGTTCAGAGAGTGGGTGCTGGGTGTGAGTGGAGGCTGATGGGGAGCTGGCGTTGTGGGGAAGAGCAGTGGAAACCCACAGCAGAATTTTTTTTTTCTTTTCAAATAATTACAGAGATACAGGAAGTTGCAAAAAGTGCAGAGAGATCTTGTGTATGCTTCACCCATTTCCCCCAATGGTTCTATCTCATGTAGTTCTAGCACAGTAGTAAAACTGGGAGGTTGACGTTGGCATAATGAATATGTAAAGTTCTGTGTCATTTGTCTCCATGTGTGGAGATCCATGTGGCCATCATGACAATCCAGATACAGAACTGGCCAGGGGTGGTAGTCACGCCTGTAATCCTAATACTTTGGGAGGCTGAGGTGGGAGGATTGCTTGAACTCAGGAGTTCGAGACCAGTCTTGGCAACACAATGAGGCCCTGTTTCTACCAAAAATAAAAACAATTAGCTGGGTGTGGTTGGACATGCCTATAGTCCCAGCTCCTCAGGAGGCTGAGGTGTGAGAATTGCTGAGCTCAGGGGGTTGAGATTGCAGTGAGCTGTGATTACACCACCACACTCCAGCCTGGGAACTGTCCCCTTACCACAAAGATCCCTGGTGCCACCCCTTCACAGTTCACACCTCCCTGTCCTCACCGTCTCTTGCCCTAGCTGAACCCCAACCATCTCTGATTTTGTCATTTCAGAATGTTTTATAAATGGGATCATGCTGTGGGTCACCTTTCGAGATGGCCTTGACACTCAGCATGATTCCCTTGCCATCCCTCTGGTTGTTGAGTTCAATAGTTCATTCCTTTTCACTGCTGAGTGTTGTTCCGTATACAGAAAAGTACACACCTGCTAAATGTGTAGGTCACTGGACTTTCATAGGGTGAACACACACACATAGCAAATACCAGTGAAGAAACAGAACAGGACCACAACGCCAGAAGCTCACTACTGCCTCAGGGGTCACCCTCCTGACCTCTCATGACCCATATGTTTCACTTGTGTCTGAACTTTACATATGTGGAGTCATGTGTACTCTTTTGTGTCTGATGCTTGTAGGTATTTGTGTTGTGTCCAGCTTGGGGTTTTGGCAGATAGGGTTGCTGGGAATTTTCTTGTTCCCGTGCAGTGTTTCTCTTGAGTACATGCTGAGGAGTGGAACCACCAGATCAGGGTAAGTGTGTGTTTAGTGTTAGATACAACCAGTTTCTCCAAGTGCCAGCAATGGATGAGAGGTTCCTCAAGAGGCTTTTCAAGCCACCCCCACTGGGAACCAGTCAGGGAACGGGTCGTGCACGGTGTCTGGCAGAGCCCAGCAAACAGTGGACTTCCGACTCGCCACAAGACCCTTTCTCTCTTTCCAAGTCCATGTTGTTTTCTTTGTTATTAGAAATTTGTATTGACTCATAGGCAACCTCTGAGTTGATTATTTTTTTATACATGGTGCATTATTTTACATTTACATTTTTAAAAATAGTGATAACATTCACAAAGTTCAAAAGTGAAAAAGTATATAAAGATATTCCACGAAGATTCTCTTTTCTCTCCCTGTTCCTCATCTGCCTTGTTCTCACTGCCATCAGTAGTTTCTATTCTTATTTCCTCCTTAGACAAAAGGTAGCGTAATGTACACCGTGTTCTGTGGTTTTTTTAACTTAATATTGTGGCTCAAGTGTCTTTCTGTAAGTATAGAATTTTTTTTTTCTTATAAATAGTTGCAGTTTTTTCTTTTAAATAGTTTTTTTTCTTTTAAATAGTGTGTTTTATAGAGTTGCCAGCATTTATCTAGCTGGGCGCCTACTGATGGACTTTCGCTTGTTCTGTTTGTAGTCGGATGAGGAAGGCAGCCAGGAGAAAGGAGGGGATGACGGACAGCAGAAGTTCATTGCTCACGTCCCCGTTCCCTCGCAGCAAGAGGTAGGACCACAGCTAAGAGCTGCCTGGGCGCCAGGGGCTTCTCCAAAGCAGACTGCACGGAGCACTGCAGTGGGTTTTTGTTGTCCTTCCTACCCATCAGGGCAGCTCAGGGTCGTGACCACATGACACCTGTCATTGTGCTCAGGGTGTGGGGTCCAAAAAAGGCAGGACCCTCTGCCCTAGGCCATTCTGTTGTTCAAATGTTTCCAATGGGAGGGACTTATGGCTCTTGGAGACTATTCTGGGTATTTAAATCAGTCTCCTCATGGACTTCTCCCTCAGGGACTTCCTCCTGGCTGGGTCTGGCAAGGTTTGGAGGGCTTTGCTGAGGAGTGAGCCCTGCACTCTTAATTTCCACAGATTGAGGAGGCACTGGTACGAAGAAAGAAAATGGAACTCCTCCAGAAGTATGCAAGCGAGACTCTGCAGGCCCAAAGTGAAGAAGCCAGAAGGCTCCTGGGGTATTAGGACCCAGCTGGGGCTCTCCTTGAAGTTCTTCCGTCCCCCAGTGGTACCTCAGGACCCAGGGCTGCAGACAGGCAGGCTAGTGCTGAGCCCCATTCTCAGCCTTCCTTCCCTCTCCTTATCTTGTGCTGACTCGACGGTAAGGGTCTGTCCCTGGTCTTCCTGGTAGGTTTTGTACACATATTTTGCTACTGTGTGGATCCATTTATTTTTATTGTGGAGTGTATACAACAGGTTGCGAACTGGCTGCCTGTATCTGATTTTGCCTTGCATTGTGATTTTGAGGAGAGAAGAATCAATTAGTGGCAAACATTTAAAAATGCAATTTTTTGCAGACCAAAGTATAATTTTAAAAAATGCAAATTTTCTAAAAGACAAATCTTCTCTTGAAAAATGAGATGATGTGGCCATGCGTGGTGGCTCACGCCTGTAATCCCAGCACTTTGGGAGGCCGAGGCAGGCGGATCACGAGGTCAAAAGATCGAGACCATCCTAGCCAACATGGTGAAACCCCATCTCTACTAAAAATACAAAAAAATTATTCTAATGCTGGGCGTGGTGGCGGGCACCTCTGGTCCCAGGTACTTGGGAGGCTGAGGCAGGAGAATTGCTTGAACGCGAGAGGTAGAGGTTGAAGTGAGCTGAGATTGTGCCACTGCACTCCAGCCTGGCGACAGAGTGAGACTCTGTCGCAAAAAAAAAAAAAAAAGGAGATGATATGTCAGCCCTGAACATGCACCCCACAGGTCAATGACCAGGTCCATCTGTGTCGGGCGCTGCTCTGGGCTCTCCGTGAGCCCCGCTCCACCTGCTCCACTCGCTCCTGCCTGGGTGGCAGGAATTCGAGTTTGCTACTCCTGTTTTATAACCTGTTCTGCAGAAACCTATTTTTATTAAAGATTTTTATAAGAAAGGGAAACCTCCATGTCTTCAGCCTATTCCCTTGGCCAACTTCTCTGAGGTGACAGTGGCATTAGGATGTGTAGCCAGTCACTGAGGGGCACTGCCTTCCTGCAGGGGAGTCCCTGAAGCCCCAGTCCCAAGTGTGGCAAGGACAGGACCAGATCCCAGGAGCCTCGGTGGGAGTGAGCTGACCCACTGTGGCATCTGTGGCCACAGCTGTAGACAGGGCTCCTTGCAGTGGGCTGCACTGGTAGGCTGCACTGTGGCCTGCTGAGAGCACACAGTGGACACGAACTGAGTCCAGAGCTTCCTCTGAACTGGGACTAAGCTCTCCAGTGGGGAACCATGGTCAACAGCTGCAGCACCTGGGCAAGATGGGGCCTGGCCTCCTGCCCTCTGCAAGGTCATGGGAGTGTCTAGGAGCTCAGGGTCAGGGCCAGATGGCTATTCCTGGGGCCTGGGGCTCCAGCTCAGGCTGTTTGGGAACAGGAACTCTTGGCTTGGAGAAGCCCATCACACAGCAGAAGGCCTGGGATGGTCGGTCTACGGGGAGCAGCTCAGTCTGAAGGTGGCAGAGCCTCGTGTGGCTGTGTGTGGCTGAGTCGGGAGAGTGGCCAGTGCTGGGCCCTCTCTAAGGAGTCCGAGGGCCACAAGGACCGTGGAAAGGGTCTGAGTGAGGGAGTGGAGACCTAGTGGCTAGCAGACTTGCTTGAGGACGCTCTCTGTGGCCACAAGGAGAGGCCCAGGTATTACCAAGTCAGGAGGAGGCTGGGGCAGAGGCCCTGGCAGGTGGGTGGGCTGGTTGGGGATGGGAGTAGCCAGGGTGTAGGTGAGGACAGGGAAGGGCCCCCCTGCCTCCTGGCTTCCCTGAGGGTGGGGCTGTCCAATTCCAGCCCTCAGTTGAGCCTGGAGGCAAATGTGTGCAGGGAGGAGAGGGGTCCAGGTTGGAGCTTTGGGAGCCCTTGGAGGGAGCAAGGCAGATTCACCTCTGGGACCCAGTACCCAGCTTGGGTCTGTAGGTGGGGGCTCAGGAGTGAACATCGTGGGAGCTTTGAGCAAGACCCTCTGGGCCCCAGACTCAGCTTTTATACTTTGAAGTCAAGGAGTGACCTGTGCTGTCTGAGTTTGCTCTGGGGTCTGGGCAGTCCTGTGGTTTGGGCAGAGGCCTCAGAGGGCCTTAGGGACAGACTGATCCTGGTCTGAGCCTCTGGGGAGCGTGGGGGTGGCCAGGCTCGGACAGGCCTGGTTATGGGTTTGTCTTCTAAGGGGCACACTCAGGTGCTTCTTGGCATTCAGAAGAGAATGGGGAATTCAGACATCAGGCCTTCTCCCTGGGAAGGATGACAGGTGCTTGGAACCAGGCCTGTCTTGAAAGCTTGGGCTCTGGGCCTTCCTCCTCCAGTCCCCTGTTCCAGGCCTTCAGTGTACAAAGCACTCCCCTCCTGGGATCTCTTCTCGGCTCCCCGGGATGCAAACTGGCTAGGGGTTAGGATCCCACATTTGAGGAAACAGGCTGAGAGTGGAGAAGCACCCAGCTGGACATCCTCTAGGTATTCCTGGCAGAAACCCTTGCTACTTGTCTGTGCCCAACGGCCCTAGAGGGTCCTAGATGTGGGACAAGGTCTCAGCAGGCTCCAGTCCTAGGCCTGGAAACAGCTGGAGGTGGGGGAAGCTGGCTGGGTGGGTGTGGTCATCTTTTCCCAGCTTGTGGCCCGTCTCAGGAGGCTTTGTTTGGTTAATAAAATCTGCTGAATGGTTTATATTAGCTTTGACTCTGCCTGTGGTTTCCCAAAAAGCTACTTTTTCGTAGTCACGTTTCCATTAACTTCCTTCTTCCCTCACACTGTGTGTCCTCCGTTGTCTAAAACACACCACCTCCCTCCTGTTTTGCTTTAAGACTAGTCACAGCATGCCCACCTAGGCCTCCTGGACCTCCTCCTGCTGCATCCCCAACCGGCTGACCCCACCTGCCCTTGGGCAATTTATAAACAAGGAAGAAATGAAAACCTTTCTCCTCTTGCCCTGCGCTCACCCTGCAGTCCTGCACATGCCCACCCCATTCCCTGAAACACTGGCAGGTTCTGGAGCCGAGGTGGGGGTCCTCACCCTGCTCACTGTGCAGCACTGAAAGCAGGAACCCACCTGGATGGACATTAGGCCTGGCCCAACACCCAGCTGACTAGCAAGCAGAGGAATCCACAGGGGTGGGCAGTGGCACCCAGCCCCTTCTGGTATCTCCACACTTGGTGCCCACCTGCTCCACCCGAAAGGATGCAGAGGGTAGTGTCCATGGAGGGCTGGCGTGGCGCTCTTAGTCCTGCTTCTCTGCCGCAACACCTAGGGCTTTTAGCAGGTCATGCAGTCCCTGAGCCTGGGTTTCTTTTCCAACAAAATGAGCCGTGGAAAGGGCAGAGTTGTTCACAGTTCTCTCTAGCTGGACCAGGGTAGAAGTCTGTAAAAAATATGTGTTTGAGGGGCTGGGAAATCAGGTCGGAGGGGCTGAGGGGAGGAGATGATGTTGGGAGAAGTGGAACCTTAAACGTGTGCACGTTCCTGAGGGTCTGGGACTTGGCACTGAACTTGCTTGAGCAGGGGATGCCTTTGTAAGATCCCTTCTAACAGCAGATGGGTTGAGGGTAGGGGTTGTGCTGGGGGAACTTGAAACAGACCAGGGAGGAAGCCAATCTGATCCTCTAGGGGATGGCTGGGTCTGGTTGGGGGCTAGCAGTGGAGGTGTGAGCTGGGGTGCTGAGGTGCTAACCCCTGTATTTTGAGTCAGATCCTCAAGTGTGAGACCAGTGCTATCAACAGAAGCAGTGAGAGTGGAGGTGCTCATTTGCCCATGTTTATGACATTTGGGATTCTGGGAGGAGAGAGAGTGGATGCCTGTGTTTTCTCTGGTCACCAGGTGAGTGCAGAGAGCTGTCTATGGAGGAGCCTTTCCAGCCAGCAGTCAGCACCAGCCAGAGCACTAAAGTTTATGACTGCTGTAGCCGATTTCTGCTTTATTCCTACTTTTAATTTTCAGAGTCCAGAGTGTTCACCATTACACCACGGAACCTCACAATTCTACTTTTAATTTTGTAATATTTTGTAGCAAGCACCTCTGTATGAAAGACACAGGATATTGTGGTTGGCGTCTGGCCTTCATGGTGTTTTTTCACTTGGGGGCACATTTTCAGCACTAGCCTTGGTATCACCACATAAAGAAAATTTGGGGCTGGGCGTGGTGGTGCACACCTGTAATCCCAGCACTTTGGGAGGCCAAGGCAAGAGTATCATTTGCTTGAGCCCAGAAGTTCAAGACCAGCCTGAGCAACATAATACGACCTCTACAAAAAAATAAAAAATTAGCTGTATGTAGTAACGCACGCCTGTGGTCCCAGGCCTGTGGTCGAGTACAAGAGGCTGAGTTGGGAGTATGGCTGAGCCCTGGAGATGTGAGGCAGCAGTGAGCCATGATTGTACCACTGCACTCCAGCCTGGACAACAGAGGAAGACGCTATCTCCCCCACCCGCTTCCCCCAAAAAAGAAAACTTCAAAAGGATAGTGTTGTAGGTTTGTATTTTAATAATGGCAAGTGTAGAAAGAAAAAGATGAAAGGAGAAAGAAGGAAGGAGAAAACCAGGTACGAATGTCCCTCTAGCCACTTGGAGGAGGTCTGATCCAGGGAACATTGCCATTATGGGATACCCTCTGAGATGGTGCCACTGCATGGCAATGACACAGTTAAAATGTATTCAACACACCCACCAGCTTTAAGAATGTTAAATTCTTGGCCAAGCGCGGTGGCTTATGCCTGTATCCCAGCACTTTGGGAGTCTGAGGCAGGCGAATCACGAGGTCAGGAGATCGAGATCATCCCTGGCTGACACAGTGAAACCCCATCTCTACTAAAACTATAAAAAATGAGCTGGGCGTGGTGGCTGGTGCCTGTAGTCCCAGCTACTCGGGAGGCTAAGGCAGGAGAATGGTGTGATGTGAACCTGGGAGGTGGACGTTGCAGTAAGCCAAGATTGTGCCACTGCATTCCAGCCTGGGTGACAGAGCGAGACTCCGTCTCAAAAAAAAGAATTAAATTCTTGGCTGGGCGCGGTGGCTCACGCCTGGCCAACACAGTGAAACCGTGTCTGTACTAAAAATATAAAAATTAGTCAGGTGTGGTGGTACACGCCTGCAATCCCAGTTACTCCGGAGGCTGAGGCAGGAGAATTGCTTTAACTCAGGAGGCGGAGGTTGCAGTGAGCCAAGATTGCGCCATTGCACCCCAGCCTGGGCAACAAGAGTGTTCTCAAAAATAAAAAAAGGCCGGGCGCGGTGGCTCAAGCCTGTAATCCCAGCACTTTGGGAGGCCGAGATGGGCGGATCACAGGGTCAGGAGATCGAGACCATCCTGGCTAACCCGGTGAAACCCCGTCTCAACTAAAAAATACAAAAAACTAGCCGGGCAAGGTGGCGTGCACCTGTAGTCCCAGCTACTCGGGAGGCTGAGGCAGGAGAATGGCGTGAACCCGGGAGGCAGAGCTTGCAGTGAGCTGAGATCCGGCCACTGCACTCCAGCCTGGGCGACAGAGCGAGACTCCGTCTCAAAAAAATAAAAAAATAAAGTAAGTTCTTGACACATATATATATTATATATAATATATATATTATATATATAATATATATGTATATATTTTTTGAGACAGAGTCTCGCTCTGTTACCCAGGCAGTGGCACAATATCTGGGCTCACTGCAAGCTCCACTTCCTGGGTTCACACCATTCTCCTGCCTCAGTCTCCCGAGTAGCTGGGACTACAGGTGCCCGCCAACATACCCAGCTAATTTTTTGTATTTTTAGTAGAAACAGAGTTTCACCATGTTAGCCAGGATGGTCTCGATCTCCTGACCTTGTGATGTGCCCGTCTCAGCCTCCCAAAGTGCTGGGATTACAGGCGTGAGTCACCGCGCCCAGCAACTAAATTCTTGACCTATTTTTTTTTTTTTTTTGAGACGGAGTCTCGCTCTGTCACCCAGGCTGGAGTGCAGTGGCCGGATCTCAGCTCACTGCAAGCTCCGCCTCCCAGGTTCACGCCATTCTCCTGCCTCAGCCTCCCGAGTAGCTGGGACTACAGGTGCACGCCACCTTGCCCGGCTAGTTTTTTGTATTTTTTAGTTGAGACGGGGTTTCACCGGGTTAGCCAGGATGGTCTCGATCTCCTGACCCTGTGATCCGCCCATCTCGGCCTCCCAAAGTGCTGGGATTACAGGCTTGAGCCACCGCGCCCGGCCTTGACCTATTTTTAAAAATTTGCAATATACATTTTTTCAAATTTGATGTATTAAATGAAACATTTTTAATTGCTGTATTTCAAATTAGCATGATTCCATTTTAAATAAAATGCCACTGTGCTACTCAGGAATTTACCACCAAAAGAGGAAATGCAGATATTAGACAGCTTTATTGTATAATTTACATACCATAAAACCCACCCTTTGTAAGTTTACATTTTAATGATTTCAATAAACTTGTGGAGTTGTGCAGCCCTTACCACAGTCCAATTTTAGAATCACCCCACAAAGGCAAGGGAGTGGTGGCTGGGTTTTCTGACAAAATCTGTACTCAGACCAACATGTCCCCCGTCCCAGCCCAACCAGTTCCAGGCTAGAGCAGTGGAAAGGCCAGTTAGCTATCCAACCACCATCTACCCCCACGCTTCATCCTGGCTTCTGGATTCCACACCATTCTGTGCTGTGGTAGCTGCTCTGAGCTGGGGGCAGGCCTTGTTTTCTGGAGTTCTGTACTTTGATCTGAGCTAGCCCCAGCATGCAGAAATCTTCCAACCCATCTCCTGTCTACTTCTACCCTGGAGTGGAGGTTATTTCTGCCGCTGTAGCTCCCTGCTCCCATCAGGTGTACCAAAGCGGGGCTCTCAATTGCTTTTCAGTGGCACTTTGGGGTTTCCTGATTCTGTTGAGTATTTCCCATGAGATTGGAGTTCAAACTTTCAGAAGAAACAAACAACTCTTCTACCTTCTCCATGGGGTCTGCCTTTGCAGACTGCTTATTCAGTCCCTTCCCATCTTGACCTGAGAGGTTGGCTTGGGTCCTCACAGTAGCACTGGGGGACTTAATCTCTGAAGTCTCCTTCAGCTTCTGGAAGACCCTCCCCTTTTCTCCTGGATTTTTGTCTGCTTTGTCCACAGGTGCATTACAAGGCCCCAGGACAGTGCCCGCCTGTAGCAGGCATTCATTAAATGTGTTGAATACCTGGAATTGGAGTGCCACAAGGGAGCTGTCTGGAGGGGTAAGGGGTGCTGTTAATTTCTTCCCATCTTGGGAGCTGGGAATCCCAATCCTATTGGATCTACTATAAGCTTCTTACAGATGTTTGGATCTCCTTTCTTTGATGGGCCCTGGTTCACTGGGCCAACTCAGGAGCTAGTCTCCCCTTCCTCAGAGTCCCCCACAAGTTTCTCTGTTCCTCTTCCTAGACTGGTGCTTTTTGGCTGGGTCAGTTTCCCAAATGGGCCTGTAGCTGCTCTGAGCTGGGTCATCCAGCCGTTTGGCAGCTGCTTCAACCACTGCTAGGCTGCATTTTGGAGATGAGAGCTCCCAGCTCCTCCTTCTGGCCCAGCTTCCCATGAAATGGGGGCCTGGGTCCTCTCCCCACCAGGATTTTTGCCTCCTCCGCAGTTTTGTAGCCAGCCTGGATTCTGGCCTTCTGCAGCCTGCTCCCTCCCTTCCCTTCCGCCCCTGGGAAGAGTGACCCCCGCCACTCTCAGGGACTCTGCACTGCCCGCCTGTCAGAGTGGGCACTCAGGTGCTGTGGTCGTCCCCTTTCCCCGTGATCCATTCCGGAAGGGGTCATTCTAAGTCTAGGCCTGCAGGTCCCGAGCTCCTGCCATGGCCTTCGCCTGTTCCTGACCGGGGGTCTGGGAAGCAGCAGGTAGGGGATCCCGGCAGGCAGATCAGGCCTGCGTGGGGGGCGGGCAGGAGGCGCGGGACAGCACCTGCGATCCCAGCTGAGGAAGGGTCGGGATGGGCAGTGGTTTGTGGGCCAGACGGATCCGCCGTGTGGGCGCGCCGGGGTGTTGATGCAGGAGGGGCCGAGGGTGCTAAGGGCGGGGTCGGGCTGGGGGCCGGGCTGAAGGCGGAGTCGGGTTGGGCGGAGTCAAGAGCTGAGGAGAGCCTGAGGGCGGAGTCGGGGCGGGCTGAGATGGGCCTGTGGGCGGAGTCGGGTCTGAGCTGGGGGCGGAGTCGAGGTCGGGCTGAGGGCGGAGTCGGGGCGGGCTAAGGCGGGTCTGAGGGCGGAGTCGAGGTCGGAGCTGGGGACCGAGTCGGGGCGGGCTGAGGTGGGCCTGAGGGCGGAGTCGAGTTCGGTCTGAGGGCGGAGTCGGGGCGGGCTGAAGTGGACCTGTGGGCGGAGTCGAGGTCGGGCTGAGGGCAGAGTCGGGTCGGAGACTGGGCGCGCTGAAGTGGTCCTGGGGACGGAGTCAATGTCGGAGCTGAGGGCGGAGTCGGGGGCGGGGACGTAGGCAGAACCGGGGGGTCGGGCCGAGATGGGCCCGAGGATAGGGCTGGGGGCGGAGTGGGTGCCGGCCTGAGGGCGGAGCCCGGGTGGGGCGGAGTCGGGGGCGGGCTGGGGCGGGCCTGAAGGCCGGACTGGCCTGGCTTGGAGTTGAGGACGGGCCGGAGCTTTGCCGCGGGCCCCGCTTGGCGGATCCGGGGCGGAGCGGAACCCGCGGAGCTCCGAGTGCGGGCGGGGCCGAGCCGGGCCGGGGCGGGACCCAGCCAGGTTGGGGCGGGACTGAGCCAGGGTGGGGCGGGGCCGAGGCCGAGGCAGGCGGTCGGCAGTGCTGGGGGTTCAGGTGTTGCGGCCGCTCCACGTAGCCAGGCGGCCCGCCGGCTGGAGCGGGGGGAGCTCGGCCCGCGGCTTGCGTGAGCTCAGGCCGGTCCCAGCGTCCAGAGCGCCGGCCCTTCGGCTCCCTCTAGGCCATGGCGGGGCCGGGCCCGGGCCCGGGGGACCCGGACGAGCAGTACGATTTCCTGTTCAAGCTGGTGCTGGTGGGCGACGCAAGCGTGGGCAAGACGTGCGTGGTGCAGCGCTTCAAGACCGGCGCCTTCTCGGAGCGCCAGGGAAGCACCATCGGCGTCGACTTCACCATGAAGACGCTGGAGATCCAGGGCAAGCGGGTCAAGGTGGGAGGCCGGCCAGGGCCCCTGGAAGGCGCTCCCTCGGCGGGCGGGGCGGGGGCAGCGCACCCCGCGGCCGTCTGAAATTTCCTTTGGCTTCCCCTTTTTCCTTCCTCGGGTCGGAGCAGGCCTGGGCCCCGGGGTCTGGGCCGGGTTCAAGTCCTCAAAGCGTTGGCCATGGGTTGCGAGGAGGGGCGAGGGAGTGTGGAGGTGGCGGCCCTGCCCTCCGGAGCTCATACCCTGGGGGGGACTGTGCTCCAAAGTAACTTTAGCCATTGGGTGGCAGGGGGTTAGACTCCCCTGTTCCAGGTACTAGCGGAGCGCCTCGGAGTACGGAGATCAGACCCCCCACCTCCATCCACCGCAGTGGCAACCTCCAGCTCGGCCCACCGGCGGGGCACTCAGCCAGAGAACTGCACCCCCACCTCAGGACTAGGAGCGATCAGGAAGTAGTTGCTTCTAGGACCGGAGGGCAAAACTTTTTGTCAGAATTTCCGGCCTGGCCACGCCTCCCTGCAGTCTCTTTGTGGACCTGGTGGTGGAACTTTACTCGACTAGGGCCAGCCCCGGTTCCCTCCCCCAGCTGGAGTTTGATAGAAACTGAAAACTTCACAGATACCGGAAGGTGGGGGAGAGGACCAAACTTTGGCAATGGCTCCGAATAAAAACAGCAGGATGTGGTTGCCACAATGTCCTGGCAATGGTTTGATAAATATTTGCGATGAATGAAATCAGATTTACTTAACCTAGGTGTTAGGTAGTCCCTATTCAACCGGGAGACCCCGGGCTGAAGGCACTCAGTAACTTTTCTGAACAGCACTGTACAGAAATCTTTGCTTGCTTTCATGGTTTCCAGTCCCCATGATCTTCAGGACACCTCTCAGAGCACAGGGCTGGGACGATCTCTGCCAGGGATATGGGAGTCACTGGAGCCTTGCTGCTGCTGGGCTCTGCCTCTCAGGGTGGCTCTAGGCCTGCTCCTTGTTGCCTTTGGCTAGGATACGTAGCTCTTTGTCTTTGTTTCTGTAAAATTGGGATAATTTCTGGGTGTTGCCTCCCTCCTGCCCCACGGTGGAGAAAAAAGTCAACAGTCTTTATGTGACCACAGTGCCTCTCAGTAGATGTGACGGGGAAGCAGAAACTCCTGCCTGAGGGTTTTTTAATTTTTATTTTTTAATCGTCTTCTGGGGTCTGTGTTTTGGGCTCCGTGGATGGAAAAGAGCAAGGTGCAGAAGGCAGCTTTGAGTCACTCCGGACCACCCTTTTGGAGCAGATAGCCAGGGAAGAGCTGGAGTGGGTGGAGTGTCCGTTAATGAGTGTGTACCCAGTGATGATGCCAGCAGCTGCAGGGAAAGGGGAGTGTGAAAATACAGGCTAAAGAGCAGTGGTGTCCTCCTCACGAGCTATCGGTCTGCTCCTGGAGTGTCTGAGGTGGCCCGGTGCTCATGGTGGTCAGGGAGGGGGCAGGGTTCCTGTTTACCTGTTGAGATTACAGCTTGTGCCCTAGCAGAGCTCCTGGTTTACTGTGCACAGGTTATGCAATGCAGGGCTGGCCAGTTCGTTATTTCCTTTCCTTATGGTTACCTCCAGATTGTCCTTCCTAGGAAGCAGCCTGGGGGCTGGGGAGTAGAAGAGCTGTGTAGCTGTAGTAAAACCTCTCCAAGTTATAACTGCTGCCCTTGAGAGGCTGTTGGGAATCAGCTGGGTTACAGGTGCATTCTCTGCTGACTGGAGGGAATTCTTTTTTTTTTTTTTTTTTTTTTTGAGACGGAGTCTTGCTCTGTCGCCCAGGCTGGAGTGTAGTGGCCAGATCTCAGCTCACTGCAAGCTCCGCCTCCCGGGTTTACGCCATTCTCCCGCCTCAGCCTCCCGAGTAGCTGGGACTACAGGCGCCCGCCACCTCGCCCGGCTAAGTTTTTGTATTTTTTAGTAGAGACGGGGTTTCACCGTGTCAGCCAGGATGGTCTCGATCTCCTGACCTCGTGATCCGCCCGTCTCGGCCTCCCAAAGTGCTGGGATTACAGGCTTGAGCCACCGCGCCCGGCCTGACTGGAGGGAATTCTTACCCCCACTCACACAGGATGGAGCCTGGGCGCACAGCTAAGAAGTGATAGAAGTGGGAATATTTTTCCCAGTTTTTCTGACTCTAAAGCAGATTTTTTCCTCCATGGCGGACAGCTTTTCAGAATCCCGTTGTCTGTGGTGGGGAAGCCTCTGGCAATTGTTTACCACCTCGTTTTGCAGTCAGGAAAACCTAAAGTCTGACTCACTGCAGGGGCTCCAAATTAAAACTGGGCAGCCATGAACTTGAGGGAACACTGTCCTTCGAGTCAGGATTCCTGGGGTCCGCTGCCTCAGCAGGAGCAAGCCGTTTTCCCTCCTCCATCTGTAAAGTGCCTCTGAGTGAGTAGTCTTTTGGCAATGTGATTTTAAGTCAAGTTTTTTGAGGTCTGATTTACACACAGTAAACCTTCACCACTTGAGGTGCACAGATCTATGAACTTGACAAACGTACACAGACAAGCAGCCACACCACAATCAAGATAGAGAATTTTTCCACCAACCCAGAAAGTTCCTTTTGTTTCTCTGTAGTCAGTTCCTTTCACCCCATCCTCTGGCAACCCCCAATCTGTTTTTTGTCTCTGTAGTTTCAGCAGTGTGATTTTAACTGAAACCCTTGATAAACCAGAACTTATTGTTGTTTTTTCTGTGGAAAGCAAGTTCACATCAGGGATTTAGTGTAAAACCTTCCCGGGGCTGTGTGCGGTGGCTCATGCTTGTAATCCCAGCACTTGGGGAGGCCGAGGCAGGAAGATTGCTTGATGCCAAGAGTTTTAGATGAGCCTGGCCAGCATAGTGAGATGTGGTATCTATTTAAGATAAAATAAAATAAACCTTCTCAGGGCCTGTCTTGGGAAGCCTGGGATGCTTGTCCAGCAAGCATCCATTCTTATTTCCTAAAGCTTTCCCTGTGATTCTTTACAATGATGCTGGGTTTTATTAGAGCTGAGGAAGCTTAGAGATGGATCACCTGGTGGTTTTCCAGCTCCTGTGAGCTTGGAGGTACTGAAAGGTGAGGAGAAAGGCCAAGAGGGCAGAGAGAAGGTCAGAAGGGCTTTAACTAGTTTCCCAACCAGTCAGAGCAATACCTTTATCTAGTTGTATGTTGAAGTTCTTCTTGTTATTTGACTAAAGAGTTCTGCTGCTAAAAAAAAAAAAAAAAAATTGAGAATCACAGATTTAATAAAATTACTTTATTTCTGTAGCCACTTCCCATTACAACCAGAATAACCTCCAAACACCTTCCCCAAAGAGATGGACCTCTGGAAAGAGATGAAGTTGGAGAGGCAGACAGAGGCCCATCTCTACCCTTTACTGCCTGCTCTCCAGCTTCACTAGCCCTTCAACATGGCAGGCTCACCCCTGCCTTGGGACCTTTGCATCTCTTCCCCTGCCCGTCATACTCTGCCTCTACATCCCCTTGTAACTGCTACTTCATCATTCAGGTCCCAACACGAATGCCACATCTTCAGAGAGGCCTTGCCTGACCTCCCAGGTCCTCTATTCTGTAACTCTATTGTATCTGGTCATAACACTTACCAGAGGCCGGGCGCGGTGGCTCACGCCTGTAATCCCAGCACTTTGGGAGGCCGAGGCGGGCGGATCACAAGGTCAGGAGATCGAGACCACGGTGAAACCCCGTCTCTACTAAAAATACAAAAAATTAGCCGGGCGCGGTTGTGGGCGCCTGTAGTCCCAGCTACTCGGGAGGCTGAGGCAGGAGAATGGCGTGAACCCGGGAGGCGGAGCTTGCAGTGAGCCGAGATTGCGCCACTGCACTCCAGCCTGGGCGACAGAGCGAGACTCCGTCTCAAAAAAAAAAAAAAAAAAAAAAAACAAAAAAAAAAACACTTACCAGAGCATCAAATTAACTGTGGTTTTTTTTTTTTTTTTTTTTTTTTTGTCATCTCCCCCTATAGAAGTTAAGCTCCTCGAAGACACAGGGATCCCGTGGGCCAGTGTCAAACACATGGTGTCCAATATGTGCCTGTTAATTGGTTCCTTTGTAGAGAGAAAGCTGAGGCTAGGTCACTTACAAGTCTGTGGCAAAACCAAGGGTTTGGCTGGCTGCTAAGCCCAATCCTCATTTTTACTTGACTACCCTTCTGATTTGCTCTGAACTCATAAAGATGACCCTGAGATTCTGAAAGTGAATGGATCTAATAAAAATGCGGTTGTGGCCATTGCATTCACTGAGAGAAGAATGTGGAATGGGGCATTTTAGAAAAATTGGGGTTGACAGTTAAAGAGTTTTAGGGTATTTATCAATTATTATCAACATTTATCAATTATTAACCAGAGCGTGTAGATATACCCAAAGAGCTCAGAGACACTGCTGTACGAGTCAGTAAGGCTTTGTGTGTGGTGGTCATTTCCAGTGTTCTTATGGATGCATTTGGCTGTAGCTATGAGAACTGGACTTATAAAGTGAATCTGAGGTGCTGCTTGTCTTGTATACTGTGGAGTCTCTGACAGAGCACTGGACTAGGAGCCTGAAGTTCTGGGTCTTGCTTCAACCCTGCCACAGACTTGGGCAATTCATTTTTTTTCTCCTTGGAACTTCAGGCATCCTCATCTGTGAAATGGGACTAATGGTCTTTGCTCTGCCTCTTTCTTAGGGTTGTCAGAAAACTTTGAACATGCTTGAAAGAGTTTAAAGTTTCCATGACTTACTTTTGAATAGATTTCAAAATTTTAAAAACTTCAAACGGTGTATAGTGAAAAGTCTTCCGTGTTTGTCCCGTAAGCCACCCAGTGTCCTCTGAGAAGCCATCAGTGTTACTCATTTCTTATTTAAAAACAAGGATTTATAAATATAAATATATATTATATTAGTGCTGCAGTTACTGTTTTCCTCCCTAGATGAGACAGATTAGGTCTGAATTTGCCCCTCCCCGACCCTCCCTCCTCCCCACCCCTCCCTCCTCCCCACCTCAGTGTCCTCA